CTCTCACTTCTCTTGCCCCATGTCTTCTCTGTCTCTCCTTCTCCACCTCGTTTTCTCTCTCTCTTGCTCTCTACGTTATCTCTCCTTCTCTTGTTCTCTCTCTTCTTTTTCTTTCATTCTACTCCACCTCTCTCTCTCTCTCTCTACTACCTCTCCTCCAGCTCTGTCTTAACTTTGTCTCTCCTTCTCTTCTCTCTCTCTACTCTTTCTTTCTGCTCCACCTCTCTCTCTCTACTTTATCTCTCCCTCTCTTCTCTCTCTCTTTCTAATCCACCCATTTCTCTCTCTTGCTCTCTAACCTTATCTCTCCTTCTCTTGTTCTCTCTCTACTCTTTCTCTCCTTCTCTCTCTCCTCTCTCTCATTCTTTCATTCTACTCCACCCTCTCTCTCTCTCTCTCTACTACCTCTCCTCCTGCTCTATCTTAACTGTCTCTCCTTCTCTTCTCTCTCTCTGCTCTTTCTTTCTGCTCCACCTCTCTCTCTCTCTACTTTATCACTCCTTCGCTTTCTCTCTCTCTCTCTCTACTCTATCTCTCATTCTCCTGCTTTATCTCTGTCTTTCCTTCTCTCCTCTCTCTCTCTGTCCTTACTCTTTTTCTCTCTCTACTCTCTCCTTCCCTCTCTCTACTCTATACCTCCTTCTCTTTCTCTCATTTTCTTCTCTTTCTTTCTACTCCACCTCTCTTTCTTTGTCTACTTTAGCTCTCCTTCTCTTGTTCTATTTCTACTTTTTTTCTCTCTCTCTTCTCTACCTGTTCTCTCTCTATTCTACCACTCCTTCTCTTTTCTCTCTCTCTCTCTCCATTGACTCTGTTTCCAATTGGCTTCACATCAATTTGGTCTTAAAATGTTCGTATGAACCCGCTCTACATGATCCCGGTGTTTCTATTTTTATTTCCCTACAACCTCCTGCCTCAGTGAGCTTCATTTGACTGGAGCTGAACTCGGTGTTTGACGTCACTCTTCCTTAGTCGACGTCTTTATGAATGAAACAATGGCTGGACATGACTATATTAGGTGAAGATAGGCTCCTGTTTCCTTTTTACATTTTAAAGTAAATTTAGTTCATCCCTCATCCCACGCCTCTTTCTCTTTCCCTTTCCTCTTCCTTACTCTCTCCACACCTTTATTCTTTCTGTTTACTCATTCTCGCTCTTTCTCCTCTCCTCCCTCTTTCCTCCTCCTTACTTTATCCACATCTTTTTTTTTTTTTTTTTGCTATTTCTGTTTCTCATTCTCTCCCTGTTTCTCCTCTCTCTCCCTCTGGCTATCTCTTTTTTCTCCTTTCACCTCTCTCTCCTCCCTCTTTATTTCTCTGGCTGTCTCTCTCTTTCTCCTCTCTCTCTTCCCTTCTTCTTGCCCGTGTGTCTCTCTCTCTCCTCATCTCCCCCCACTCTCTCTCTCTCACTCTCCCTCTTTCATTTCCGATATCTCCCCTCTTTCATTACTCTCCTCCCTCTCTTTCCTCTCCCTTACTCTATCCACACCCTTTCTTTTTGACTCCTTCTGTCTACTAATTTTCCCTCTCTCTCTCCTCTCCTTTCACCTCCCTCTCTCCTCCCTCTTTATTTCTCTGGCTGTCTCTCTCCTTTCTCCTCTCTCTCTCCCCCTCTATTTTTTTTTCAAATATTCTCCTCTTGCTCACCTCTCCCCCCACTCTCTCTCCCCCTCTCTCATTTCCCATATGTCTCCTTCCTTCTCTATCTCCCCTCTTTCTGCTATTCTCTCCCCCTTTCATCTCTCTCCCTCTCTTTTCTTTTTCCTCTTCCGTACTCTATCTTTTCGTTTTTTACTATTTCTGTTTCTCATTCCCTCCCTCTTTCTCCTCTCTCTCCCTCTGCCTGTTTCTCTCCTCTCACCTCCCTCTCTCTTCCCTCTTTATTTCTCTGTCTCTTTCTCTCTCCTCTCATCAATGCCATCAATTCCACAACACAAATAACAAGCATGCAGCCACAGAGACACTTAGAGCTGAATCACTTTGCACCTGTAACTGACAAAACTGTTTTAGAGATCGTTACCAGTCTGAGTTCATCTACTTGCTGCCTGGACATGTTACCCACTAGATTTCTAAAGTCCGTCCTCAACAGTTTACTTTCACCACTCACTCACATAGTTAACATGTCACTTCAATCTGGAACATTCCCAAATGCGTTGAAAACTGCGGTCATTAAGCCTCTCCTAAAGAAGAGCAGTCTTGATGCCACAGTACTGAACAATTTCAGACCCATCTCAAATCTGCCGTTTTTTGGCAAAGTCCTTGAAAAAGCTGTTTACCAACAGCTTACGAACTTTCTCCAAATGAACAACTCCTTTGATGTTTTCCAGTCAGGTTTTAGAGCCCACCACAGCACTGAGACTGCTCTTATCAAGGTGACAAATGACATCCGCCTGAACACTGATGCAGGCAAAGTCTCAGTCTTGATCCTGTTAGATCTGAGTGCTGCTTTTGACACTGTCGATCATGGGATCCTCTCCTACAGAGACTAGAGGACTGGGTGGGCATCTCTGGTACTGTACTAAACTGGTTCAAGTCCTATCTAGAAGACAGGAAGTATTTTGTTGAAATTGGAAACTGTGTCTCAGATGACATGGCCCTGACCTGTGGGGCGCCTCAGGGGTCAATCCTGGGCCCCCTGTTGTTCAATCTCTACATGCTGCCATTAGGCCAGTTAATAAGCAGCAATAACGTGTCGTACCACAATTATGCAGATGACACTCAGATCTACGTCTCTCTGGCAGCAGGAGACTATGGACCAGTGGAGTCACTTGGTCACTGCATCCAACAGATCAGTGTGTGGATGCAAAACAACTTTCTCCAGCTAAACTCTGACAAGACTGAAGTCATAGTGTTTGGTCCACAGAAACAAAGGGACAGTGTCAGCAGTCACCTCCAGTCTCTCTCTCTAAAACCTTCAAATCAGGCAAGAAATCTAGGGGTAATAATGGACTCAGACTTGAACTTTAACAGTCACATAAAATCAATAACATCTGCAGCCTTTTACCATCTAAAAAACATAGCAAAAATCAAAGGTTTACTGTCTAAATCAGACTTGGAGAAACTTATCCATGCATTTGTCTCCAGTAGGTTAGACTACTGTAATGGTCTGCTCACTGGTCTCTCCAAACGAGCTGTGAGACGCTGCAGAACATCCAGAATGCTGCAGCTCGGGTCCTTACTCGAACTAGGAAGTACGAGCACATAAGTCCTGTGCTCAGGTCTCTGCACTGGCTTCCTGTGCCTCAGAGAAAAGACTTTAAAGCAGCTGTTTGTACAAGTCTCTCCATGGCCGAGCACCAAAGTCCATCTGTGACATGTTAGTGTCATATGAACCATCTCGCACTCTGAGGACCTCAGGGACCGGCCTCCTGCTGGTGCCCAGAGTCAGAACTAAACAAGGGGAGTCAGCGTTTCAGGTTCATGCAGCTAAAACCTGGAACAGTCTTCCTGAACATGTGAGACAGGCCTCTTCTGTGACGCTGTTTAAATCCAGACTCAAAACATTTCTGTTTAACTGTGCATATAACTGAAAGGTTTTCATTCCGCACTCTTCTCTCCAATTTATGTCTCTCTTTTTTAATTTTAATCTTTATGATTATTTATGTTTTGATTTGTCTTTTTTATGATTTTAATGTATTTCTTATTCTGTAAAGCACTTTGAATTACTTTGTGTACGAATTGTGCTATACAAATAAACTTGCCTTGCCTTGCCTTGCCTTGCCTCTCTACCCCTTTCTTGGCATTTTTTTTTCAAATATCCTTTTGCCCCATCTCTCTCCTCATTTCCACACGCTCTCCCTCTCACTCACTTCTTCCTTCACTTTCTTTCACTCCCTTTCTTTTTTCATATCTCTCCCTCTTTTTCTATCTCTCCTCTTTCTGCTATTCTCTCCACCTTTCATCTCTCTCCTCTTCTCTCTCTTTCCTTTTCCTTACTCTGTCCACATATTTTCTTTTTTGACTCTTTCTGTTTACTCATTCTCCCTCTTTCTTCTCTCCCTCTCTCTGTCTCTCTCCTTTCCTTTTCACCTCTCTCTCTCCTCCTTAATTTTTCTGGCTGTCTCTCTCTCTCTTCGCTCTTCCCCTTCTTCGTATTTTTTTTTCCCCAAATATTCTCTTGCCTCCCCTCTCTCTCCTTATCTCCCCCCACTCTCTCTCCCTCCATCCCTCTTTCATTCCCTCTCTCCTTTTCTCTCCTTCTCTCCACATTTCATCTCTCTCCCTCTCTTCTCTTTTTTCTTCTTCCTTACTCTACCCACACCTTTTCTTTTTTTTCTTTTTTTTTGACTCTTTCTGTCTACTCATTCTCCCTCTTTCTCCTCTCTCTCCCTCTGTCTGTCTCTCTCTGGCTGTTTCTCTTTCCCTTCTCTCTCCCTCACTCTCTCATTTCCCATATTCCGTCATTCCTTCTCTATCTCCCCTCTTTCTGCTATTCTCTCCACCTTTTATCTCTCTCCCTTTTCCTCTTTCCTATTCCTTACTCTGTCTACTCTTTCTCCCTCTTTCTCCTCTGCTCTTTTGTCTCTCTCTCCATCTTCCCTTCCCCCCTCTCTCTCTCTCTCTCTCTGTTCTTTCTGTGAGCCTGTCTGCATGTGGAGCTCTCACTTCTTCTTTGCTCGTCAAATCCCTGCGGCGTTTAGTTAAACTTTTGTGAGCGTAACCGGGGGCAACTGGAGACCACTTCCTCAAGAGCTTAAGAGTTCCTGTTTCTTACCATACAACTGACTGACTATTTTATTTATAGTATCATAGTATATTCACTCTTTCACAACACAGTCACAACTACAAATACTAAATACTACACAAAAAGTATACAGCAATCGCCATGAGTTATATAGACGTTTTGTCCAGAGAAACAATGGTATTAAATGTGTACAAGGTTGGAACTGGTGACCCTCTGGTAATGGGGCAAACAGTCAGCCCACTGTACCACTGTTACTTCATAATAAAATGAGTAAAAATGTGAGTATACAGTATGTAGTTTAGTGGGTTAGTTTGTACCTTCGTGGCCTCTGTATCCACTTCTAATGATCGCGGTCGGAGTTTGATTGGCTGATCTTTGAAGATGTCGCCAAAACCAAAACCTCTAACCTACAAATTGAAAAAAAAAAAAAAAAAAAAGCAATTATATATTATTATTACATATTATAATGCAGTATAAAGTATGGTGAACATGTAATGCAGGGGTCTCCAACTTGTAGCTTGGGAGCTCCCAGTAGCTCTTCAACCTCTTCCAAGTAGCTCGCCAAAGGATTTCTGAATAAACTAATTAAACTGTTTAAACTGTCTATGTTTTGTAAGTCTATCAAACTGTTGCCCATCTAAGGTTTTCCTATGCTTAATTTCTTGTGACTGCTAAATAGGGTGACCAGACGTCCCTATTTTCCTGGGACAGTCCCAGTTTTGAGCCCTGTGTCCCCTGTCCCAGCAGACCAAAACCAAAACCTGTAATTTGTGCCAGTTTTATACAAGAAATGTCCCAGGTGTCTCTATTTTTGACCAATCTGATCTAAACCAGAACTAAACTAAGTCTAAACCAGGACTACATCAGTTGTAAACCAGGACTACATCAGTTGTAAACCAGGACTACATCAGTTCTAAACCAGGACTAGAACAGGACTATCACAATTTTTGACTAATCAGATCCCTGCCAACACTAAAGAGGAGCATAAATTATCATTTGTTTAGCCAAAATACAGAAAATGACAATAACGCAAAAAATGCTTTGTCAGAAGTCCCTTAGATTATATTACATGCTCTTTTCACAATTTTATTTATACTAACCATCCCAACCCAGGTGTGTCCCAGTTTTGAATTTTGAAAATCTGGTCACCCTACGGCTAAAATTAGTAGAGCATTTTCATTTTGTAAAGGTAGCTCATCGGAGGACAAAGGTTGGAGACCCCTGATGTAATGTATGAATGAGTATATCAGTTTTTTTCATTAAAGGTGCATTGTGTAAGTGTAAATGAGGGTTTGTCAAATGGTTTTCTCCATGGAGATGTTACTACTTTGTCTGGAATGTTTCACAGTATGGCATTAAACTTTTTTATTATCATGGAGACAAAAACTAGTCTAAGTTATAGGTCAGATCTGTGGAGAGGCAACCCCGCTCACACTCAGAACTCAGAACGACCGATTTTCTTGGTATTTTTGAGTTATTAAACCAACTGTAACTGAATAAATCTAAGGCAGATCTGTTTAATATCATTTTGTGAAGCATTCAAAACAGAGAAATTATATCAAAAAACAAAGAAGTTGACTGACCCCCAACCGAAAAGTTACATAGTGCACCTTTAATTTGAAAAAAAAAAAAAAAATCATAAAAATACAGTAAAAAGAAGGAAAAATCTTTGTACAAGGGTGAAAATCCTCCATCCAAACAGACTCTTCTTGGACCTCCAAAGGATAATACACAATAGATAGAACATAGTGGTGCTTTTTGGGGAAGGGAAGTCAATTTAAAGATGCAAAAAACCCAAGGCACTCACTGGTTAAAATAAAACACCTTTATTAATTTAGGGCATGTCTAAATGGACAACTTACAAAGTCCCAATGCATTTCAGCGTCTGACTTTCCTCAGGGGACAAAACGAAATAATAATAATGTGGCTCTAAAATATGAAAGACATCTCCACTCAAAAATTCTCGTAACAAAAAATATAACCTCTTTAACTAATAGTTTGGTGCTTTGATTGTTGATTCGGAAAAAAATAATGCTATTTTTCAGTCTTTTATTCTGTTTTTTTTTTTCTCCTTTTTCATGAGTAAGCACTAATAAGCCGTGTATGTTTTTGACAGAACTGACCATGCCTCTCTCTGATTGGTTAACCCGCCTGTCAATCACACCCTCTGAACTCAGGGTGACAAGATCCACTCGTTTCTCATAAAGTTTGTGGTTCAAGCTGGTCAGGTAAATAAAATCCCTGGGAATGATTTTGAGTCGCTTCTTATCTCAGTTGAGGTGAGCATTATAGCCTCTCTGCTCATCCCTGATAATAACACTGTGCAGAGTAAAAGGAGACAGGTGTATTTACTGAATATAGTCATTACCTTCTTGGGCTGAATCTCCACTGATCCTGTGTCTGAGCGGCTGTCTGCTCCATCGCTCTCACTGCCCGGGCTCTCCTTACCTAAAACACAACACAGATAAAAGAGGAGAATAAGACAGTTTGCCATAAATAATAAGAAATACAGATCTAATTTTAAAGGTGCTTCACGTAACTTTTCTGGTGGAATAGTCTGTCAAATGGTTTTCCCCGTGGTGATTGCTTTGTCTGGAATGTTTCACAGTATGGCATTAAACCTTTCTATCACCACAGAGACTAAACCAGAGCAAGTTACAGGTCATAGTCCGATTAGGCTCATTTTGTCTTCCAATAATTTAGTGTTATTAGGTTATTTTTTCAGACCAAGAGTTTGTTTTCATATCCGACATTTTCGACTGCTCCCTGCGCTCTTCCTCAGAGTCATGTGATGTTGTTGTGACGTGTCCGGTCAGCTGATTTATACAGGTTTTGCTGCTGTCTTCCTACCGGTGGAGGCAAGATGACAGCACCATCTTCAGTCCGATTTCCTCAGGACAGTATCCCAGGTGCGTGAGAGTAAAAAAGCCCCCTCTCGTCCCGGTTTATCGTCCCGTCGGCATGTTTCCATATTTTGATTGCCTCTTCAATCCAGCGACGAATCCAACAAACATCGTTGGACTTTTTTACTCTCACACACCTTGGATACTGTCCTGAGGAAGCCAGACTGCAGATGGTGCTGTCGTCCTGCCTCTACTGGTAGGAAGAGAGCACCAAAACCTGTTTAAATCAGCTGACTGAACACATCACAGCAACATCACGTGAGCACTCTGAGGAAGACCACAGGGAGCAGTCGAAACTGTCAGGGATGATAACGAACTCTTGGTCTGAAAAAAGAACGTACACAGCAAAAACTGGAGGGTTAAATTTTTTGGGTAAAATATTTCAGAGTTGTTTTTAACACCAAAAGTGTTATTTTAACTATTTGAAACTTAAATGGGGGTTTGAGTTGGGGTTATTTGCCAGAGTTGATGTGGCTGAGGTTAATTCAGCTTCCTCTAGTGTTAATTCAACTTCCCGTAGTGTAAATTCCACTTCCCTTACTGTTAATTCAACTTCTCTTAGTGTTAATTTGGCTCCTCCCATTCACCACTTCAAACTCTTGTGAGAGAAGACCAGTTTGAACCAGTTTTGTACATAATTTAATCTTAAATTAACTCAAATAAAGTAAAAATAAAATAAAACACCTCTGTGTGTTGTTATTATCAGGATAACTCTACAAAGTGTTATCTGTTTACTCTGGATTTCGGGGTTAAACAGAAAGTTTGGTCCAGTGTTATTTAATTAACATTTCCAAAAATGTTAAATTAACTCTAGAACAGATTGGACTCATATAAACTCTGAGAAAATGTTAAAGTTGATTCTGTGAGAGTCAATTTTAACCCTCTACTTTTTGCTGTGTAATAACATAAGTAACAAGTTACAGGTCAGATCTGTGGAGAGGTGACCCCACCTACAGTCAGAATGCCTGTTTTTCTTGGTATGTTTGAGCTATAAAACCACCTGTGACATATCCATAGAAATAAGCAGGTGACGGACCCCCAACCAAAAAGTTACACAGTGCACCTTTAATACATATCTGAGTTTTACATATTGTGAACAGGACATTTGTTATTCTCACTTGTGCGTCCACTGCGGAGGTCTTCCTGCGATGTGTCTATAGGGGGCGTATCTGAGTCCAGAACGATCTCTTTGGTGAAGTTTGACGGAAACATCCCAGTTTTACCGTTCAGTACTCCCTCCCACCAGCCCTCCTCCACCTGAAAACACACATTTAATTAGATTATAGTTAAATTTATACATTTACTCACACGGAAATGAACTCTAGAACTGCATTCACACCTTTTTTTCACAAAGCAACACAGCTGTGAGTTGACACATTGGTTTTCATTCACATTCTTCTCTCTTTCACACATTTCTGAGTAAGCTTTTATTATTAGTCTGTCTACATCTCCAAAGCTAAAAATGTTCTGTTCTGCATTGTTATGTCATGTCAGCGGTAGTTTTCACATTAACAGCTGCTGTTTACCTTTAGATCAGTAGAGATTGGGAATTCCAGGGCTGAAATCGTCCAAATGATTCTAGTGAAGGTGTATGAAGTTTAAAAACACAGTGGAGCACTTCCTGTTTTACCACATGACATCATAAGGTGGAAGTGTTTTCTGATTGAGGGAAGAATTCAGCCTAAATTTGCACAGATTGTGTGTGAATGAAACAAAACACAACTCCAGGTGTGTTTTTGATAGGAACATTATAGCAAAAATCAGAAAATACTGTAATAAGGGCGCTTTAAATAATACTATTACTTTAAAAAAAGCATCATAATAAATCATTAGTGCATCGATTATGTGTACAAGTAACCTTACATTATATTATACAGTCCTTGAATCTGGTTGTAGTGTCTCTGTGTCCTTCACTGATCACGTGTTAGTGGTGTAGAGGACATCCTTGTATCTCGTTACATTCACGTCATATCTCAGTTTTAGTTCAGGTTTCGTTTCCTGTGTTTTACCTCTGTGATAATCTCGATGATGTCTCCGATCTTCAGCTCGAGTTCGTCTTCGTGTTGTGGAACATAACTGAAGGCCGCTTTACACCTCCGCTTACGGATCTGCTCCACTGTCAAACACACAATACAAGCAATGAGTTATACTGGGTTTAAAGAGCCCATATTAATGTAAATATTTCAGATCTACAGTATGTTTTAATGCTGTTTTCTAATCAAAACATACTTGAATTTGTGGTTTTGTTTCATATTCACACACAAACTCTGCATATTTAGGCTGCGTTCTTGTCTCAAATGGAAAATACTCTGTAACATCTTGACCAAATGTCATGTATTAAGAGGTAAAAGGAGCTGTTAACTTGAAAACTACCACTGCATGACATCACAAGGTGGAACAGAGCACTTGGGAATTTGGAGATGTCGACAGACTAATAATAAAGAATTACTCAAACATGTGTGAATGAAACAAAACACAACTCCAGGTATGTTTTTGATGAAGTAACAACATTATAACATGACTTAAAGCTCACAACAGTCAATTTTTGTGTAATATAAAACCTTTAAAATAGGAAATTTTAAATTATACTTGATTAGATCAGAAAAATCAATAAATAAATGCATGCCAGTAAATACTTTTCTTGTTTTAAATGGAACAAGACATGTTTTTAAATATACTTTTTTTAATATCACTTCTTGTTTCCACCGCAGTGAGTTCTTCTTGCCACAGATTCGACCTTTAGCAGTTTTTCTCAAAATATGTACCACCTGTGATACGTGGGCTGCTTCTAGTATAGGGGTCAGGAGTTTGAATATTTGTTTTATTCAGAGACAAACCTATTCATGCTTTTGTTCTCTTTTGAGTTAATCCACATTTAAACTACCTATAAACTAGTCTCATTTTAGATCTGGTTTAACCATAACAGGCCTAATAAAAGAAATAAAGAAATAAATATAGATAGACAGATAGCAAAATTAAAGTCAGCAGTCCATCGTCTTGCATTCATCAGTTATAGGGATGCGTTAAGATAGTCCAGGTTTAGATCTTGGTTGGAAATCTAAACATAATTTTTGGAAGTATTTGACGTGAAAAGTTTGAGATTGATAACCAATGAAACTATAGCTATCAGCACACCCTATTATTTTGGTGTTTAGGGTAAATTAACTCACAAGGACGTAATGTTCATAATGTTCACAGACCATCACAGCTGCCACATTTCAAATAGGAAATGCTTCCGGCTCCATCGACTCTGTTTCCAATTGACTTTAGATTGAAATTGAAAAAAACTGTAACTGCTGCAGGGAGCCTCTAGCCTGATTCATCAGCTGGTTTCACTTTGTGGAAACCGTCTGACCTCACAGCATTAGGATTCGTTCGCTCGACAATAGGCGGGTACTTTTTTATTTAACCAATCGCTGCTATTTGGTCGTGACGTATGTAATGCGCCAAATCCCGTAGGAAGAAGAGCAATAACGTCTTTCCCCTTGATAAAATTTATCAAACATTCTTTTTGTTTTGACTTTAAATCCTCAATCTCGGGAATCGTTGCCAACACAGAATGTATGTCTTCGTCCACATCCATCTCGACTGCTTTGTTTACTGTTGTGCTGTACCACAAAAGGGACCCAGACAGGCGCTTGAGTTTGACGTCATGGCTTCACAGCTTTTCACTGATTGGACGGTGTGGGGTCTACAACTTCCAGGGTTCTTACAAACTGTCTAGTGTATTCTGATTCCTGACCTAGTCGCTGGAGGGAAATGAAATTGAATGGAGGCACTAGGTGGCACCAGCCTGGCTAGTGAGTCTCATCTTTTTGGTCTTAAAATGTTTGTATTAACCTTGTCTACATGATCCTGGTGTTTTTTATTATTTTGCCATTTTGTCTGTAAATAAATTCCTATTCCTAATACCAAGCTCCAAATTCGCTCCTATGACTGCAAGCCTCATGAGCTTCATTTGACTGGAGCCCTTAGTCCACTTCTTTATGCAGTCTATGGTCAAAACATCATAAGAAAGTTTAAAAATAGAGAGAGAGAAACAGTTATTCAACGTTCAAGGTCCAGATGGGTCACTGAATAGTTTTGAGTGAACACTAATTCAATAAGTTTACACCTTTTTTGTGGGCATTTTTAAAGTATTTTATTTATTTTATTGCAGTTTCCTAGTAATGCTCCGCCAACAACGCTAGAATACATTAACTGCTTTACTAACACAATATAACATGGAGGAGCACTGACCGTTTAATCACACACCAGACACAGACACCAGCTCAAACATTAAGCACAGCCTCACACTGAGCTCTGCTGCCTAAAGCTGCTCATTACTCCTGACTCACTCAACACCAGCTGAGGTTAAACGCTGCACTGCCCCCTCTCGCCACCAGGTGTCCCTCTCTCCCTCTCACAGTCACACGCTCAGGCTCAGGAAGAGTTTTATATCATTTATTTATAAGGGACTTGGAGTAGACAGGACAGAAATAACAGCAACCAACAGACAAGAGTGTAGTTTAAAAGATTTAAAAAGAGACCAAAGTACTTTTAAAGGAGATTTCTCTACTAGACAGTATGAAACAACACTGAAAGGTTAGATAAGGCTAGATACACTTTTGTTTTAATAGAAAATGTACTAGCTTTGTGTCAAAACTGAACTAGGGTGCGGCTAATAATTATTTTTGGTAATCAATTAATGTGGCGATTATTATTTCAGTTTTCTGGTAGAGAGTCTGCCACCTGCTTGACTCTATGTAGATGTTAATGTTGTTCCCGGTATGGCATTTGATTTAACTATCTTCATGGAGACAAGCAGGCCACCTCACAAGGTCAACTTACAGGTCAGATCTGTGGAGAAGTGGGCCTGTTCAAAGTAATAATGCATGTTTTTAGTGTAGTTTTGAGAAAGAAAAACATCTGTAATGGAATAAATACAAGGTATATTTGTTTAATGCCATACTGAGGGACATCCCAGGCAAAGCAACAACATCACCGGGGAGATTAGGTGATGGCAGCAGCACCTCCATCATAAAAATTGTACAGTGCAGCTTTAATTTATTAGTTGTTTAGATTGTGCAAAATTTGAAGATTTAAGATAAAGAGATGCAATTTGAGAGCAATTTTGAGAACTTCTTGAGTATATTTTTACAACAAAATTGGCTTTAAAGATAACTAACTGTTTGGTAGAGGGCCCGTCAAATGTGTTTTTGTTTTGTTTTTTTCCCATGGAGATGTTATTGCTTTGTCTGGAATGTCCCACAGTATGACATTAAACAGCTGTCCGTTACATTTATGAAATTACAGGCTCAAAAATACCTAGAAAACCTGGCATTCTGACTGTGAGCGGGATTGCCTCTCCATAGATCTGACCTGTTACTTGGTCTGATTTGGTCTCCATGAAGACAGAAAGGTTTAATACCGTACTGTGGAACATTCCAGAACAAGAAATAACTCCATAACTCTATCTCCATGGGAAAAAAAAGCATTTGATGGACCCTCCACCAAAAAAGTTTCATAATGCACCTTTAACATGTTTCTTATGTCAATTTGGATTTCAAGCGTAAAATAATGATTCCTTCCTGATTTAAAGAATTCGACTTTGGAAACAGCTCTCCATTGTTATAGCGATAACACAATTCAGATTAAAATATTTTATCTTTTGAACAGGGAAAAGTCCCCATAAAATCCTTCAAATCAGGAAGGAATCATTTGCCTGAAACCTATGAATACCAGAACAATTACTCAGTTTCTAAATTAGTAATAGACTATTATTTCAAATGATTCATAGTGATTAGTAGTGATTAACTGACTCGCCTGTTTTAGTCCAAACCCGACACACTGCATTATAAATAATAGTTTAACCTTATCTGTCCAGTTAATTACAATATGATCTATGAGCGTGGGGCTCCATCATTACAGTGTAGTGCTGTGTTGTCGTTTACCTTTCTTCCCAGGTCTGACCCCCGTCTCCGTGGATACAGGACTGGCCCGGCCGTTGGACAGCTCATTTTTAAGAACTGCAGCTTGCCCTCCATCACGCTTCCCCTCTTTCTTTATCTCCTGCAAAAACAACACAGGGCATAAAATATTAAAGTTTTAAAGGTGCACTGTGTAACCTTGGTAATAGTGCACCCGCCACCAGCTTGTTTCCATGGAGATATTATTTCTTGGCCTGAAAGTTTTCACAATATGGCATTAAACTCATACATGTTGCATTTATTCAATTACAAGCGTTTTACTGCTGAAAAATACTACAAAAACATGCATTCCTACAGTGAGTGAGTTCGCCTCTCAACAGATCTGACCTGTAACTTGGCCTGGAGGGATCGCTGGCTTGTCTCCATGGAAATAGATGAGTTTAATGCCATACTTTTGGACATTCTAGACAAAACAATAACATTTCAATGATGAAGACAAGCAGAAGACGGACCCTCTACCCGAATGTTAGTGCCAGAGGTTGGGGCTTTCAAGTTGTGACTTGGACTCGAGTCAGACTTGAGTCACTATTTTTAGGACTTGAGAGTTGACTGGATAAAATGGACTAAGACCTGGGACTCGACTTGGACTTGAAGGTCAGTGACTTGGGACTTGACTTGGACTTGAGGCCTGTGACTTGAGAAAACTTGAGAAGCACTTTTAAATCTGAATTCTTTCTATTCTGCCCGTAATGATTCACTCTAAGATCTTGTCAAGACATTGAAAAAGGAAAAATAACAAAATTATTTTCCACAACTCTTATATACTCTATAAATACTCAAATATAAATATGCTATGATTTTTTTAAGTACAATTTATCTTAAAAGTCATATAAATTACAAAAATCAAAAAGCTATATTTGGTACTTTGGTTTAAAGACTTGAAATGACTTGAAGCTCAAAACAGACGACTTGGACTTGACTTGGTCTTATTGGCCAGTGACTCGAGACTCGACTTGGACTTGCCTGTCTTTGACTGGGGACTTGACTTGGACTTGAGGTCAAAGACTTGAGATTTACTTGAGACTTGCAAAACAACGACTTGGTTCCACCTCTGGTTAGTGCACATTTAACATCACAATACACAGTTTACATTAGTTTAAGACAAAATAATTAGAGGTCGGTAATGTCAAAATTGAATCTAAATATATTTGTTTTATAATTCTGATAATGAAATAACGATAATATTTTTGTAATCTTGGAATATTACATTTCAACTCTGGCTCCAGTTGACTTTATAGTGAAAAAACTGTCACTCCTCTCTCTGTAGCTGCAGTGACCCTCGTTATTTTCATCTTAAAATGCTCATATTAACTCACTCTACATGAGCTTGGTGTTTTTATTTTGCCATTTTCTTTGTAAATGGGTGAAGTCCACATCTTTATACAGTCTATATGTGGTGGGGGGCCTCCTCTGCATACATATATACAGTATATTACAGATTCAAAACATTTACTGACATTAGTCACTCGAACCTATGCTGACCTCTGCTGGAAATGTAAACAAAATGCAATTAGTTTATGTTTATTATGTTTTTAACTGACCATATTATGCAATCCAGTCTCATAATATCATTCTCTGAAACAGTCAAATATGCAGAGAGACTGTACAATTCCTCTTACCAGTACAAACGCTTATATAATTGTGGACATGTTGTTTATAATGGCGCAGATGGCCCTAAGGTAAACTGCAGCTGCTGTTATTTTCTGTATGTGTTTTGGAGCTGGTTTCACTGGGCACTATTAAACTGGCTTGTGTTTAGTCAGGCTGTTATCGCCGGACTGGTGTAGACAATGTAATTAAAATGTGAACGCTATATGACAACGCAAACAGTCTACCAAAAGTAAAAGGGATTTTGTTGGGTTTTCTGACACAGTGGATGGTCTTAAAAGTCGCAAAATTGACTCTTGTGAGATTTTAGTCATGTTATAATGTTGTTTACTTATCAAAAACATACCTAGGGTGTGTTTTGCTTCATTTGCACATGTTTTAGTAACCCTTTATTATTAGGCCCTGTTGTGTTTATATAGAAATACAAGTTGCATACATATCAATGCAGAGTGACTGTGGTTTCAGAGGCTGGTGCTAAATGAACATACAGTTGATGATAACAAAAGGCTTCCTGAAGGCGGAGACAGTTGTGCCTGATGAACCTTTACACATGTTAATGACTGGTCTGGGTTTCAGGTAGAAATCACATTAATTTACACAAGACAGATTGAGAGAAATCTTTCCAAAATCTAAATTTCTATCACAGGCCCCATTCACACTAGTATGTATTCAAGTCGTTTTTGTTGCGGATGCAGTGTTCATCCACACTAATCCAATAGAAAACGGCTCCAGAGACGGAATGATATGGTGCCGCCAGCTCCCACAAATTCATCTGAGTACAGATCTGATCCAGCACTGTGTGGATGCCTGAAAACGCTGATACGCTGATGTAGGTCTATGCACCATGAAGTAATTCACTGCTAAAATGCTAAGAAGCTAGAATATATGTCCATTCATATATACGGTCTATGTGTACGACCTGCTGACATATAATCTCTGAAAACATGAACCATCTCCAAACCGATAGAAGCACAGAACAGACTCATCATCAGCAGAATACCCCTCTGTCACAGAAAGAACACTCATTCCGAGAAATATTCATATTCTGAGTCTTGTCCTTTAGTCTGACAGAAGCTGAACCGCAACAGTGCACAATAGCGAGCTGTTTTTTGAGCGCTTTATGCAAATTAGCCAAGCGGTTTTAAGTTTTGTTTCTGTAAAATGTAAACAAATGTGCTCAAAGCTGTGTGGATAGGGAAGGCTTGCGGACACAGAAATGACGTGTCTGGACGCAAATCGTTTCCAATATAGTGATACGGTGATTTGTTTCAGTGTAAACGTAGCCTTAGTGAAAGTGTATCGAGTTAAAAAACACAGTGGAGCACTTTCTGTATTACCATGTGACATCACAAGGTGGAACTGAGTGTTTTTAGTTTTTGAGAAAAAATTTTTGTCATGAGGAAATATTATAATATAACAGAAAATAGCGTAATATGGGCCCTTTAATTATATGTAGTCACATAGTTTCATCATCCATATATTTTTGCAGATGAAAACTGAATAAAAAGGAGATGAAAACTGCAGATGTAAACTGAATAAAAAGTAGTTTCTAAAGATTTAAAGGTGCACTATTTAACTTTTCTGGTGGAGGGTAGGGAGATATCGCCATGAAGATGTGATTACTTTGCCTCGAATATAGTCTGGCATTAAACTACAATAAAATTCAAATACATCTTCAAAGAGACAAGCAGGTCACAATTCAGATCTGTGGAAGGCGAGCGTACTCACAGTAAGAATACATGTTTTACACCTGTGATTTAAAAAAAGCGAGATCTAAGCTCCTATTTAAAAGTTTGTATCTAATGCCTTTTCAATCACAGAACCCCAAATCAGACCAAACTCCAATGAACAAACTGTCATATGATTTAAAATACTTGGAAGAGAAGAGAAAATATGACGACTTAACTAATTAATTTAAGTGTTGCGAGACATTTTGACGACTAAAATCAAAAGAATGTGAGCAAAATAGTCTACTGACGCATTTAACTCCACAGCTTAAATAGATAAGGTTTGGTTCAAAGCGTGTTTCGTGCATCACTCCACTTTAATGATGTAAAATTGAAATGACAGTCCTTCAGCACCACTTTAAATTCAGTTTGCTTCGGAGAAAACTGAGCATTTTCTCTTGAGTCCTGCAATTCAAGACTGAAACACTGTATTATAAGACAGAGTAGATAATAATGGTCTCTGTTATGGTGTCATTTAGCTCTGGTAAACTGGTCTCTGTAGCCCCCTCTGAACACTCAATTGTGGATGGGTCTTAATCAGTCTTGCCATCGTGGTTTTCTACAATTTCTGAATTCCAATGCATTGTCTTTGGACATCTGCAGTAGAGATAGACAAAAATGTTTCTTTTTTCGTAGCCGTAATAATAACGATCGCTTAGAATAAAAAACAATGGCCGATAAGTTCTGCTGATATTTTGGGGCTGATAAGGAGGTTCAATTTAGATTATTTTCCCCAAATTATGTAATTTAAAGATGCATTGCACAACTTTCTGGTGTATATGAAAACTAAGAAAGTGAAAACCTAATATCCACGGACAGAATGTAGTCCTCAAGTCCTCACAAGAGTTAAAGGGACAGTCCAGAATTTTTGACATAGGACCTCATTTCCTACTGAGCCAGAGTTTTGGAGATGTGTGGAGACACTTTTTAAAATATTCCATCCAGTCCTTGTATTTGCAGAGGTCGCTGGTGCTAGGCTAGTGCATGTCAATGGCCATAGTTATCCTGCCACTAAAAACAGTCTTACCCACTCCACAAAACATCCGAAGCAAATCTATTATTACACCAGACTGTCCATGTAATTGTCTGTGTTGATAGAATAATGTTTGAAATAAAACTAACCTTGCATCGCATGAACTGTCACGTGTTGAGGGACTATTTTCTCATAGATCAGTCCGCCGCTGCCAAACATTCTATTAGGAAGTACAACTCACTGCTGCTCAGACATAAATCCTTCAAATGCAAGGTTGGTTTTACTTCTAAAATTATTCTGTCGACAAAGACATTTACATCGACAGTCTGGAGTAATAAAGATTTGTGGAGTGGGTAAGACTGTTTTTAGTGGCAGGCTATTATAACTATGGCCATTGACATGCACTAGCCTAGCACCAGCGACCTCTGGAAATACAAGGACTGGATGGAATATTTTAAAAAGTGTCTCCACACGTCTCCAACACTCTGGCTCACTAGGAAAATCAGGGAATTCAATAAGAGATGGAAAGAAACCTATTAACTTAACATGTTGTGTAATTGTAGACAAACCTACATGAAACTAATATATTTCACTACAGGACACATGGTAGGTTAGCAGATGAGTGACAGTTTTACAGTAATAAATAAATAAAAATACACACAATACTGAGAAGAGAAGTCAACACTATTATCAAAAAGATCAGCCAATATGTTTTTACATTCTTGCAAGAGGCTAAGTATTAAAATTCTGCTCCCTTTTTCACAGCACATCTGC